AACCACGATTTATGACATGATCCACAAGGTTGGCTCTGACTCTTCTATTTCCACCTCTTCCTCTATGTCTTCCTCTAACACCACCACCACGTATTCTTACACGTTTTCCAATTGCTCTTCCACGAGCATGTTGCTGCAGTTCAGGGTTGTGGGAGTCCTCCATTCTTAGTGATTGTGCTGTGGGCAATCTACATATATATGCTCCCAAACTTGATTGGTTAAATGGTTGAATGGTTGATTCAAATTGTATTGCAATTAGAGGTCATTTGCCAATTTAGCAGACATTACAAACAATGTCAATGTCAGATATTTATGGAATATACATGCGTGTATACCAATTTTTCATAATTGAATGGATCGTTTTGAATGTGATGGCTTACACGATGAAAAATGATTGAGAAGTTGTGAAGACTTTGACAGTTTAAGTGAGAATCGGCTCATCAGTTTTGATCAACAAGCCATATGCAATTAGTTGTTGTGCAAACTGCAGACAATTGTACTTACTGTTTGCACACATGTGCCAAAGTATTTGCAATTTGCTCAAATCAATAAGAAATTCCAATCTGATGTGAACAAGAAGCTAATTGTTCAGAGATCTGAACTTATTGTTTCGGGGAAAAAAAAGTTTCATTCGAGAATTGAGCCAAAGCAATTGAGAAAAACTGTAAAGCACTGAATAAGAAATTATATTGTATAAAATAAATGTATAAATAAACTGAATAGTCTTCACTGTATAAATTCAATATGCATTCATTCTTATTTATTTTACAAAAGTGATTCGGTCAAGGACAGTGAGTGATTTTCTTTCTAATGTTTGATTAACATTATTGACATAAATTTTAACAGCAGCTAAATTAGGCTGCTTTAGAGGAATAGCTCACCCAAACATTAACGGTCTGTTGTTGTTCTAAACCTGTATGAGTTTCCTTCTGCTGTTGAATGTAAAAATATATGAAGAGTTCATTTGCAAAAACAGAACTCAATTTTTGACAATTTTCAAAAATGACATTTTTTCATAGTGCATTCCAATTATTCTCGATCAAACTGCAGATGGGTTATTTTGATTCAGTTAAAAAATAACAAAACAAATACAGCTAACTAACACAATAAAAGGGGGCTTGCTTTGGTGTCACCACCCCTCATAGACCCCATGTCACCCCTTTGCCACACTAAAATTCTTTTCTAGATCCGCCCCTGGTGACAACTATGACGACTTACGCTTCTGAGAACCTCGGAAATGTAAAAATGGTCCATAAGTGGGCTTCTAGGGACCAGAATGTCTTGTCTTACCACATAAAAACTCACAAAACCCATTTGGCAACTGCATAACAGCACCTTAGCAACTGCCCACAACATCCTTTTGCACAGACACCACTGGTTAAATTCTCTACAGAAAGAAGAAATAAGCTTTATATTTATACTCATGGGCCACCAACCAGAAGCCCATTAGTTTAGTACCCTGCAGTGGCAGAATGCAAATGATCTGATAGCATCCTGCAATATCTAGTTTGAGCAAAGCATTTAAAGCGCTCTACCTCAGGGGGCCTAGATCTCAAAGTTCTGTCTGCCTGATGTTTGTCCATGCTCAGATCAGCCTAGAAGCATGCAAAAATAAAGAATGCGGGTGTGAATGTGTTTTTGATGTTGGAAGAATTGGCAAATGAAGTATAGGCTACTAAACATCTGTTGTTCATACAGGGTGAGCACAATTAGACCACTTTTTAATATTGGTATGACTTTCAAATTTCCCAATTAACTTGAACTCACCTTAGCTTTATTATGATAATATAAACATGCTCCTCCCTAACTTTTGTTAAACCTGCATAGTGGAAACAGCTAATTTTTTTAAGCACCAATGTAAAATCTACACAGATGGAAAAATGGACTAAATTGTACAAAACATACACTACTGTTCAAAAGTTAGGGGTTTGTGAAAGAAATTAATCTTTTAATTCAGCAACGATGCATGAAATTTGTCAAAAGCGACAGTAAACGCATTAACAATACTACAAACAATTTCTATTTAAAATAAATGCTATTCTTTTGAACTTTGCATCCATCAGAGAAACCTTAAAAACGTATTACAGTTTCCACAAAAATATTAAGCAGCACAACTGTTTTCAACATTGATAATAACAGCAAATCAGCACATTAGAATGATTTCTGGAGGATCATGTGACATTGAAGACTGGAGTAATGATGCTGAAAATTCAGCTTTGCATCACAGGAATAAGCTACATTTTAAAATATATTTAGATAGAAAACAGTTCTTTTAAATTGCAAAAAATATTTTACAATATTGTTGTTTTTACTGTATTTTTGATCAAATAAAGGCAGCCTTGGTGAGCATAAGAGACTTCATTCAAAAACAAAATAAACAAACAAACAACCAAATTTTACTTGGTATGTAGTTTTTTCACATTAGTTTCTTAGGCTTACCACATTCATAAAAAAGTTCGATCTGTTCTTTAATTCTTTAACCAACTCATCATCATGCAGATGGTACATGTGAAGTCATCTCTAAAAATATGCCCTCCACACGACTGCTCTAACTGAACACAGGAGCTTCATTGTGTGAGCCCTGTTGTTTGGTTCCAAATGAAAAGGCATGAGGTGGTTCGTCCTGATGATGTGCAGATGTAAATAGGCCTCCAGGCGCACACATGAAAAGACCAGCACATCTGCCGTATCTAACTATGTGTCAGCACCTGAACACTGCACATGCCAGAGTTCTGCACACACACAAGACAGAATGGCTGTGTTTGTGCATCTGTGTGAAGTGTGCAGTGTTAGTGTTAAAATGCCCTTATCCCACCCATGTGGTAATGTCTGCTGTTGTTTGGCTTTCCATTACTCCACGTACCAATTACTTTGCTTTTACCTGCCAAGACAAACAACAGCTGTTCATTCTTCTGCTAAAGTCCAGACGGCTAGCCCACATCAGACGCCTACAATTCTGAGGTCACACCCTTAAAAAAGGTGCTACAGGGCTTCTGAAGTTACATTAAGTTGAAACTATCACAGTGAGAACACAATCCGTAGAAAAAGAACAGAAAAGGTTCTAGTAATTTTCGGCCAGAACAGTGTCCGTTAAGTTTACGAGCATTTCTTTTAGCCCTAAAACACAATGCAATACATAACTCAAAATATGGGTAAAACATAAAATTCCTTCATATTAACGCAGTACACTGGGCCCTTAATTTTTTTTTTTTTAGTACTTTTGTACATGAAAAACGCTTAAATGACATGAATACAACAAAGTAACTCTCAAGCGATAGTAACCCTTTAATAAAATGTAAATGAATGAGAAAAAAAAAGAAAGTTTATTAACAAAAAGCATTAAAATGATATTTGATTCTTAAAATTAATTTAATGTCAATCAGAAATTATGTTTTAATATCACAAGTGACAAATAAATGAAATTCTCTGATGTCTGCATTCCTAGAATTATGGCTGTAATTATTTGCAGTTATTCAAATTGACAATATGCAAAACAGAAAATATACAGAAGTATTCTGTTCAGCTCCCCAAGACACTTTTCTCGTCTGTTAGAGAACTTTATCCAAAGAATTCAGAAAGCTTTCTGTCTTACCTCTGCGTAACAGCAGACAGCGGAGAGGACAATGAATAGAGAAAGTGTCCTAATAATCTGCAGAAAGATATAAGTACAAAAGAAAATATATAAATATAAATACGCAAAAATATAAGTACAAAAATATCCGATTTATCAGTGCGCATATAAGGTCTGTCTCGTAAAGCATGTTGACTTACCATCATCAGGAGATGAGAGGAGAAAGGAGAGATGAGAGGAGCTGCTGCATGGACAGAGAGAACTAAAGAATAACATTACAGAGTTCTGGAGAGATCCAGTGCTTCACCCTCCCCCACACCCACACCTCCAAACACACACACACACACACACACACACACACACACACGCGCTTACTTAGCTATCTAAATGGGGACATTCCATAGACTGAGTAATAAATACTTTAAACTGACATTAAAGGGCTCATATGATGTAATTTCAATTTGTCCTTACTCTTTGGAGTGTTACAAGCTCTTGGTGCATAAAGAAGATCTGTAAAGTTGCAAAGACTAAAGTCTCAATTTTATTCTCGCTGTAGTTTTGTTGTTGCCGCCGCCGCCATGTCGTGAAAGGCACTGTGTGTTTCCTTGTGAAAGCGAAACTGCTTTGTTTAGCCTTCCAAAAGAGGACGATATCCGCTTCGTCATGCCTGGAGCTGATCATTACACCAAATACACAAAATAATGTTCTTTTTAGCAGCGTCATATGACCCCTTTAATCTACATGCAACCTAAACCTAAAAAGGAAGAAGAAGAAGAAGAAGAAGAAGAAACTCTATTTACTTAGTAGGAGGTTTGTCAGATCTAGTTCAATTCTGGGTATAAGTTTGTCCCAAAAAAGTAGGTACACAAAGACGGGCTATTCTTACTCAGAGTCAATAAAACTTTATTGGCATAATTTATATGGATTACAATTTCCAACCCCTTCAAATTCTTAAAAAACAGGTTAAATTCTAAGTATAATGAATGGAATAAAAACAGAATTTGCATATACCTGTGAGTAACTTTGTCTTTCAGTAAAAGTTATAAACAAACATCAATATACTGCATGATGCAAGGTCACAAAATCCAGGATTCAAAGTAGGAAAAACAGAAAGTTTTGGTATTTTGGGGGAGGGAAACATATAAATAAATTATTTTGTATTGTCCTATATTATAAAAAATTTAACTTTTCAGTAGGTCTAATAATTTTGGATGAAATTTATATTTTAATGTACATAAACTACTTCAGTCTGTCAAGTATTTATAGGAATAGTTCAACCAAAAATGTGAGAATTCTGTCATCATTTACTCAACCCCATGTTGTTCCAAACCTGTATGGGGGAAAAAGGCTTTTTGAAAAATATTGGTTACCAGAAGTTTTGGTTACCATTGACTTCCACTGGATGGACATAAAAAAAAAAATAAATGAATAAAAATCCACAGAAGAAAAAAGTCCTACAGGTTAGGAATGATACTTGAATTTTCATTTTTGGGGTGAACTATAATCCGTGTATCATTCGATCATTCGTTTTTTTATTTAATATTGAAAGTAGAAAAATGAGAAATCGGCTCCTTTTTCGTTTTTTTCCAAAAAATGGAAACGAGAATTCACCTAAAGTTTTCATTTTTCGTTCATGGGTGGAAAAATTAATAAACAGCTTGAATATTCAATTTCTACATGTGGGCGGGAATTAAACGCCCCTTTCTGCTGATTGGTCAGCCAAAGATCAAACCGTGCCTTCATCAGTTCTTCCGCAGTATCACGCAGCAGAATAATAGTCCTCTGCTGCTGCAGTTGTATGGATTCTTAACGCATTTATTGCAACTACATTTAATCTTTTTTCATCAAACAAACAGGCTAATGAACAGCTCGACACAACTCATACTGCGGCAGAGTCTAGACAGGGCTTTCTTCTGTGTAGATATAAATTCTATTCTTTGCAATATCTCAAAAGGATATGCACTTGTGCATATAGCAAGATTTTCATAAAATTTAATAACTTGCCATTTCGGTTTGTTTCTCACCAAACCCTCAGTATACCTTCAGAATGCTTGGAATATATGCCACGTGATGCATAGGATTATTTTAAGACAGATATGCATCCGCTTCAAAAAAAAACTAAAGTCACCATTCTCTGCCATTAAATTGGCAAATGCGATCAGGACATTTTTGTGTTATTAAGTAATAAGCCTTTAGATCAACATGAAGGTGAGTAGTCACTCTAGTTCACACAGATCCAATAAATTGCGATGGGTTAAATAAACTCAATAAGCAGACAGACGCGACTACAGTCAAGCGCAGACCAGATCCCTTTAATATTTGTTATTTATGAATCTCACCTCATTAGTGATTAAGCGCAACAGCGCCCTCTTATGGCTTATCATGATCAATGGAAAACAAAAGGTGTTTGCACTTATATCTCACTGTAATACGTTTTTAGGACATTTCTTATTACTGAAACAAGAACAAAGCTCTCTCTCTCTCTCTTCTTAAAGAGTAGCCCAGTAGTCCAGTAGTTTACAATGTGCACTGTACTGTACAATCTGAATTGCCTGGATTCCTCTGTGGTGAGTGATCCGTAAACCACTCATAGTACACTGAGTTTACCCTCTCTTTGTAACTTTTATTTTTTTCTCGTTTCTTCATCGTGTCAGAGACCTGAAAATAAAGACAGAGCTAAAATGACCCTTGGCATAAATGGATACTAAATAGAGGTTTGAGGTTTGACAGCAAAACTGAGAAAAGTCTAAGTTCTCAAAATTCATTCCTCATTTAAAGGAACATCTGCATCTGTGACCTTTCAGAAACAAACAATAACCAATGAATAATAAATAATCAATCTGACTGCTTGTCTGTCTATATATCAATGCACTGCTGTCCGTTGCATTTGCTACAGCGATAATGTAGAGAATATGAAAATATTTTACCTCATCTCCTTGAGTTTTCAGTTGTGATTTTTGCCTGTGAAATTGAAGCAGGAACCATTTTTAAATTTGTAATATTGAAATCTGTAGTATTGAAATGTTACATTTAGTTAATTAAACTACATTTATCTAAGTAAAAATACATACATACTTACTTTTTGTTCTTCGGGATTTTCAATAAAAACAAGCAGATACTGAATACCAATAAAAAAACAAAACACCACAGGATGGACAACACGACCGATATTGAAAAGCTGGTTAAAGATGAGGAAGGTTGAGAAGTATCTGAGAAAAAAAAAGAAAGAAAGAAAAAATAATAATAATGTCCATTTTTGCATTTTTCTTTCTTTCTTTTTTTTTTGCTTTATGGCGTTCATAACATCACTG